ACCTGGGCCCGCAGCGCTGCCGCCCCGCTCGCTTCATCACTGTGAAAGAACCCGCTGCCCCCATAAACAACCCAAGGGATGAGAAGTCATTCAAAGCAGCCTCTAGTTTCTGCATTAAACTGCTGAGGTAGCTGTGTCTGTGCAGAGAAGCTGGTGGCTTTGGGAGCAGTTTCCCGGGGTCCGCCAGCAGCGCAGCACAGGGTGCCCCACGCGCAGCATGTGAGAGTGCAGGGATCAGACTCCTGTAACGAAGGTTCCCAGGGGATTTTCCAGTTGACTCCTTAAAGTGTCTCCAGCAAGGGACAGGCTAAAAGTTAGCTTCGGATGCCTGGCACAGTTCTGGCACTCGCTGCATGCAGAGGACTGTATCTCTGAGGTTGCTTAACGCCCGGGATAGGGCATCAGTCGGCAGCGTTCCGGAGGAGGTGGCCAAAGACTCAGGGCAGCTCTTCTCCCCAGCATCACTGTGGTGGCTCATGCGGATTAGCAATGACTCTGAAATGCTTTCTGTCTTCTTTGCTAGTGCTGTAGGTTATATAGCCTTTCTGTTTTTATTTCTTTCTGGCTCAGGGTGTTCAGGAGTTTTCAAACCTTCCAGCAGCTTTTCTCCATCTAAAAAAAGCTAGAGGAAGTTACTAAGCACAGGAGCATTGCATAGGTATTAGCCTTTTAAAAGCTAATTCTGTCCCGGGATGAAATTTTAGAGCCTTTATGAAATGTTTGCAGATGTATTTTTATAGCATAGAGAACTTTCAAATGATAACAGTGTGCGTTATTTTGTTTGTTTCTTTTCCCTTACTGGATTATGCCATTGCCTTTACTTTTTGTGAAATCTGGAGCTGTGAAATCAGCTTTCTGTTCAGACCCAGTTGTGTGAACAGCCGCTGTCAGTACTGGAGAAGGCTTCGCTCCCTGTGCACGAAGATGCCCCATTTGGGACGTCATGAGCAGTAGCCCTGGCGCTTGGAGGCAGGGAAAGCCGCGCTGGTAGCGCACCGGGGCACTCGGAGCAAGCCTAGCTCAGGGTAACGCTAATGTTTGTGTGCGTCTTATCAGCGAGATACGTGTTAAGATTTGAGGATTACACTTAATGTTTTAAATTTCAGGTTAAAATAAGGCACAAATAAAAGGTTAGTTGGTAATCTCAAATGAATTTGAAAAATAGCGTGGTAAATTTGTTTTTGCTTAGGGTTTAGAAAGGCTACCTTTATTCATTGGCTAAGACTCCCTTGTGAGAATGTGCTTAATAGGGGTGTTAACTGTGCTTGTCCTGCATCAGAAGGGGAGCTGCCGGGGCGCGTTTCTGGGTCTTGGAGTGCCAAGCGTTGGAAAGACCAGAAGGTTAAAGGCAGCCGCTCATTGCCAGGCTCCTGCTCCTCATAACTTCTGGTGCAGTTTACAGATCTCTTAAATTCTAGGCCAGCGGCTGCATGAAGAACAGTAGCTATTTCACGACCTTCAGTTTGAACTTTTTACCTCACAAACCACTGATACAGGCAATATTAAGCTGTTTTTTTTTTAATATTGTATTATAGGAGCATTTGATTCCAAACAACAAAATTGAATTAAGCTCAACAGTAGCAGAAATCTTCTGGAAAGAGCATACAGAGGATCCTTTACTAGTAGACTACTCTGTACTCTTAAATACTCTCTTCACCTTTTATTCTTCTAGTCTCTCACGAACCTTTCACTGATGAATCCTTCTCAATGTAACTGTGCTTTAAAGCCTGTGTTTCTAGGTTTGCACTAACTGCACTAACTTGAATTTTCTGCTATAGGCAATAGAAAAGACCCTAATTCCCCTGGATCATCATTCTGTTCGCAGATGAAATGTGAGGTCAGCCACTGGGTGTACCTGAGGATCTCAGTGTTTGCTGTGGTCCGTGGCAACCTGTAATCATGTCTGGCATGACACTCGCTTGAGCTGTAGACTTTGATTAGTTTGTCTAACTCGGGACAGATGCAAACAATTTTTATTTATGACAAAAATCTTTTAAATTGCAGAGAAGGATTTATATGCTGAAATTCTTTTTAAATACATTTCTGAATGGCCACACACTGAGTGAATTTTTAGACTCTCAAACTGTGAAAAAGTCTGTGTTGTTTTCTGTATCCTTTTGAGCTAAAGTTTCTGTATGCTAGTCTGGTTTGGAAACTTTTCCTTTTGGCTTTAATTAATAAAAGATTTAAAAGCACCACTTAATCTTTACCACTAAGCTTCTAGAGTTTTGTTTGTACAAAAGCTACAGAATGTTTGGGATGTAGGAGCCAAGCTAAATATTATTTAAATTGTGTTAAAATGAAACCCAAGGAAAACTAAATTGAATGCATAACCTGAAGGAAAAGTAAGAAAACTCCATTGGAGGAGGTGAGTTGCCTTGTTGAGAAGCAGCATTAAGTGAACTAATGAGAGTGCCCTGGCACTGCAAGAACTGTTTGTCAGCAGAGCTTTGATGGGTGTTTTTCCATGATAGATGGAAACCACACTTTCTTCTTTCATGACTTTGAGAGGAAGCAACTTTTGCAGAAACATTTCTATCGTGGAACTCCCCAACAGCTTCTTGCTTTTCTTCAGTAGTAATTTTCCAAATATAGCAGCATTAGGTCTGTGGTGCATTTTAGCTTGGTACTACATTCTGTGCTAGTCTGTTGACTGGGTGGCATGGATTGAGGTTTGTGCTAACCCCCGTCTCATGCAGAGCTTGGAGAAGATACGAATAACTGGGTGCTACTACAGGAAGAAATAGCACAGGACAGAGCAAGTAAGAGTGGTGAGATGAAAGTTTGACACTTCCAAAGGAACTGCAAGTTCCTTTTATTCTTCTAGTGAAAGGGCTCCCAGAATATCCCACATATCGCACAGGAAGGGAGAGACACGAAATTCAGGCTAAAACATACATACATATACATGTATACAAGCTCCATGCTCCATATGCTTCATGAAGGAGCTTGTCTGTCAACAGAGTAGTAGAGATGACCTTGTAGCTTCCCTTCAGTGTGTCCTGGACAATACCACATTTGTTAAGTATTTTAAAATCCTACCAAAAAGAAAGGAAAAAGTTCATGAGCCTCTTGTGTTTTGGAGAAAACTCATAACAGTTAATTTTTGGTCATGGATAGAATGACTTCCTTTACTTCAAGCTTTGCAACTGATAATTACTAGTCTTGTGTGTGAATGGAGACAATTGAGGGTTTAGAAATTAAGAATATGTTGACATATTAAAAAAGCGTTTATAATGATAATATAATTTTATCTGAGATGATAACATGTAAATGCAGTGAGCAGATTAAAGCCATTTACTTGGTGATGGTTGAATCCTCCTGCACCAAGAGGTAAAAGTGATAAGGAGAACATAGACAGAGGTATTAATACATGGACAATATCTGCTTTTTGTTTAAGTAGGAAAGATGAGCCTTTTTTTTCCCCCTCCCATTTCTGTCTAGTGCTTCTCCTGTTAGTATCAATCCGAGTTTATACATGTTTATTTGGAGAATTCAGTTGCATGCTTGCATTCTTGATGAATTTACAGTTGGTAATACTTGGTACGTATCTGGTTTAGAATTGGTAGCTCCTCTGGGATATTTATTTTTATTTTTTAACCTAGGGAGAATCTTTACCTTCCTGAACGGATAAATCTTGCAAGACTAATCAGCTCTGTGCTCTGCCCGAAAAGCTAAATTGAGTGTGTCCACATTTAGGTGCAATTTAGGAGCTTAGTCATCTGCTTACTCTGGAGTTTTCATGTGGTCTGGGGTTTCTGTTATACAAATATATTATTATGGTGTTTTTGGCCTAGGTGAACGTAGCTGCTGAAGTTGCACTGGCTTGTAATAAGTCCTCAGCTTCCTCAGTTTGTCTCCAAATTGAATCTAAGCTCTTGTCTTGAAAGCTCCCGTCTTGCTGCAGAGCACACTGTGAAGCACACGCGGATGTAGCTGTATGACTCTCCCGTGGACGCGGTGCTCTTCGGGAATGCTTCCCGCCGGGCATTACCCTCCTCATCCTGGTAGGAATAGCTTCCAAAGGCCTGCATGGGGCCCTGGTCCTGTCCCAAGGAGGAGACATACGTGGTTTTGGTTTAGAAAATACCAGAATTTGCTATCAGAAGTGCGGATCCTGGGAAGACTGAGCTGAGTTGCTTGGATTTGTATGTGTGATTTCCCTTTGCTTGTTCCGTAGTGACTAGCTGTGCTTGACTGAATGTCTTGCAGTGTTCAACTGATGCTCAATTTCTCAGTGATGGCAACAGGAAAGAGGATGATATTAGCCTTTGTAACTTGGATAATTAGTGCTGGTTGCTGCCTTGCGGTCTGTGGCTGTTTTCTCAGTTTTGGATAAGAGTCTGGATTGAGCAACCCACTTAATGCAGATTATTTTGGTGAACCGCCGTGAGCCCCTTCATTTTCTTGTACTGTCATTTTTCCACTTGAGTGTTGATCCATGCAGAAGTAGTACGTGGAAGAAACCGTGTCCTTCCAAAGAACAGCTGCTGTCTCTTTGGTAGTCCTAGGATATAGTGATAGGTCTTGCTTTGAGTTTTTTCTTGAAACTTGTGTGTGCATGGAGAAGTGTGAGTATATTGCAGTAGGCCTAGCTTGTCTGCATTTTCTTCAGTCCTGTACAGATGGTTGCTGTGCTGCTGCAGTTGATCTTTCTTTCAAATAGCATTTTGCCAGTTGTAGGCCTGGTGGGATCAATTTTTCTGGATTAGCAGACTTAATGGTGCCTGAACAAAGTTGGAGGGCGGAAGCCGTTGCTTAAGTACTGCAAACATGTTGACCTGTGTCCGCTTCAGCGGGATCAAGCGGAGAACTGTTCTGCTTTGGGTTCAGATAGAAACATGTCGAACCGAAATGCTTCCTCGGCCACAGCCGTGATGCTCTTTGTTTATTCCGCGTCCTCCACCTGCTGAGGTGGTTGTAGAGCTCACGTGGATTTTCTGAAGCCTGAACCGAATTGCCCCCCACACTTCACCCCCTCTTGGCCTACGACTGCAGTGAGCATCCAGCAGTGCTGCAAGGCAGTAAAATTTGTGTCTTTTTAGCATATATCTAATTAAAAAATAAACTTTCCCCCCCGCAATAGTTCCTGACTTCTTTTGTCTTTTTTTAATGTTACTTGCCACTTTCTCTATATCCAAATCTACAAAGCGTAACTAAACCTTTCAAGTTCAGTATGAGCAATGCAAGCTGTACCTTCTGCACCCTCTTTTATCTTCAAAAGTGCCTCCAGCCCCATGATATACTATGTTGTAGCAAAATCTTTGTCAATAAAAGATCTGTCTTCCTTTTTAAGTTAACCTGAAACACCCAAGTGATTTGTATGAAGTGCAGGTCTTGGGATATGTCTCACTGTGCATCCTAA